AGTTGAAGTCCATACATCTTAAAGTTGCCAAGCTTGAGAAACACTGGTTTAGAAGAACTGCTTCTGTTCAACTGTTTGATATTGAGAGACCGTGAGTGATTTGTTTCCAATCACAGAGAAAGGAACGGGGGAACCCCAGTTGAATTTTTGCACAACTCTGAGCTAGCAGATAAAGTTGAGTGTTGCAGAAGCATCTGTGAGATGTTTCCCATTGCGCAATTCACATGGGATGTGTATTACCTTCAGGATAAGCCCCCAGTTTGCTTCCCACCCCGGGCTTCCTGAATTCTTCACTGCAGCCCCTGAAGTCTTCCATACATGTCTGCCAAATTGTGATTTTTAATACAATTGTTAGACAGCAGCGGCGTGCAGAATGCTTTGACTGAAGCATTTCGTTTCGGATTGCCCTTTTGAGGGCAGCTGTTTTCCATTTGAAGTGGGCTCTTCTGATATTTTTGGAAATGTTTTGTTTGAAACGCTCTGTTTCAAGCAAAGATCCAGTCCGGCCCCTTTCGGAATGAGAAAAAGCTGTCGCGCTCCCCCCGAAACCCTCTTCAAGCTCAGAATAAGGGGTTTCAACTTCAAAACAGTTTGAACACCCCCATTTACATTTTCAAACGATCAATTATCGCGTACATATAATGGAATGTAAGAATTATTAAATGCACGCTGAAGAATAACTGTCTTTAACTTGGCCGTCGTATTCTGGCCGTGAAAGCCTTCAACAATACCTTGTCTTTAACTTATTTTAAGTGAAATTTCCTCGCTAGGTGGCAGCACTGAGCCAACCTTGGCTGATCTGGAAAAAGTAAGCCAACTTGCATCTGATTACCCAATGCTTGGATGGAAGACCACCAAGAGAGCCACAGCTGTAGGCTAGAGTGGGAAGAGATGATAGATAGATAGATAGATAGATAGATAGATAGATAGATAGATAGATAGATAGATAGATAGATAGATAGATAGATAGATAGATAGATAGAATTTTCCCCCTGCTGTTGCTCACTTCTTTCCTCTGGCTCCACTTCTGCGTTGGAGGGCAGATTGAAGAAATGTGTATTCCTCCACTTGTTGTGCCTTGTTGTGGTGTTGGGGGATGGGGGAGATTATTCTGTACTGTGTTCTGTTGTATTGAGTGTAGGGGTTGTTTTCTTTCCAGAAATAAACTGAAAATACACTGAAAACATCATGGGAGAATGTCCACAAGGACACCTGTCTTTATCCAGGAGTGTCTGCAGGGTAGGGTGAAAAAGTCAAGATGGTGGCCATGATGGTGTCGCTGAAGCTTCGCCCATCATGGGCACCATCTTGACTTTTTTGACCACACCCTGCAGACACTCCTGGCTCAGATATTTCCTCACCAGATAGAGAAACATCTTTTCCATCATTAGCTACCTGGTATTTTTCACCGCAGATGCCAAAGATTGGACTGGGGACCTTCAGAATGTAAGAGACCTTCATTTTCTGGAAAATTTGTTTCCTGAGTTCATTAAGGAACCCTTGGCAACCTCCAAAAATCAAGTGGGAGAGCTTGCTTTTTTAAATAAGGCATCTTTTGCAGGCATAGGCGCGAGCCCGTCAGAGGTTTTCAACGTGCCAGCCTGAGCGTATGGCCGTCAAACGGGTATCTGACTTGCAATAACATCCTTTCCAGTATTCCTTAATTGCGTAATTGTTCCAATAACATTTTCATTTTACCAGCCATATTTAGGTAATAAAAAACCCATTCAAAGCTATTAGCTGGAAGGGTCTAAGACATGATAGTTCTCTGGACTTCGCATCAGCTGGAACAGTAGAAATTCCCTGAGTAAAATCCATTTTGCTTTTCTAATTAAAGGTAGTACAACTGAAGTTGTAGAAGCAAGGATCAAAAATCTCCAGAAGGCTGCCATACAGAAGAACCTTGGGAAGAATGCACGGAAACCCTTGTCCTGAGCACAGAAGATATAATTGGACCTGTTTTCTCCTTCTCTGCCCATCTGGCCCTTTTTGGAAAACACTGTGGAAAGTCACCGAGAGAGGAAGGGAGTCGATGAGCATTCCCATTTCAAGAAAGCAAGTTCCTAGACCACAAGGTTGCCAGAGAAAACAGGGGAACCACCTGATTAGAAGAAATGACAAAGAATGGCACAGAGTCTTCCACGGTCAGGAATACTAAGCAAAACACTTCATCATGTGTCCATGAACCACTGCGTTATGTTGAGTTAGTTTACAGATTAGGGATCATTAAAGACCGAAGAGATGCTAAATCTATACATTCTATAAGAAACTGATGACCCTAGATGTTGCTTTAGGATTGCTTAATAATCCTTTACTTGCCTCACCCAACACTGGAATTCCTAGCTGTATGTAAGCCTAGGATAAAAATAGGGGAAAGGAGGCTGACGGAGATTTCCAAGAGGAAAATTTAAGGAGATGGGACAATTAAGACCAGTCTTTCTCAACCTCAGCAACTTTAAGATGGGTGGACTTCAACTCCCAGAATTCCCCAGCCAGCAAGGGTTTCTTGCTCAAGGAAATCTCCCCTTGTTTGGGGAGATCAGAAGCTCCCAGCAAAGCAGACAAATGTCCAAGATCCATGTCCAAGAGCCTTAACTGATCTTGCAAAGCCAGACAGGATCAAGCTTTGAATGAGAGGCTACCAGCAAATCTAAGGTCTTTAAGCTAGACCTGGAATTCTTTGAACATTCAACACTTCCTTATTGCTGCCAGGAAAGCTACATGGATGGGGTCACGAGTCAAGTTCAGCTCCAAGAAGAAAAGGATAAGCAAGCAGAATAAATCTCTCCCAGGGTAAGATAGAGCTACGATGCACCGGCATTTTAACCATCTATTTGCTTGCAGAGTGACACGAAGGGCAAAGCAAATTAAAACGGAAATCAGGCGCTACGTTTATACGGTATGCCTGGACTCAGTGTGAGACTGCTAAAATCAAGGTTGATTGTTGTCAGTTCAGAGTACTGCAACAGCCTTCGCATGCGGTTTCATCTTCCTGGGGGCACTGCCCATTACGCAAATGCAAAAATCGCATTTCTTTTGGGGTGAAGTGTGTTGGGTGGGCCCTGCTCTTCAACTATTTGACAGCTCCCTAAAACCAACACGGCGCTTTGGGATGGAGTTACAAGAGTTCCAGCAAGTGAACTATTTCCACACAGGACCGATATGTCCCCAAGTACATTGGGGGAGACTTCTGAAACTTTCTGTAATTTGGCGAGGAGACAAGCCTCTTCGCTGATAACGGGCCTGCTTGCAGTGGGTTGAGGACCGAACAGTCTCTCGAATCTTTCTCAGTCGGAGAAGCAACGTTTACCTGCTAAAAGCCTTCCCTTCCTTGCCCACCATTGCGGATGTATTCTTAAACAGTTTTTCTTCCTTTTAAAACCGGCCCTTACTTTGCTTTGAGATTCTCTTCCTGAAAGTTCCATCGGGGGTCATCGACAAGCTGCAACTCTCGCAAAATGCTTCCGGGTTTGTAGGCAGAGTTGACCACCATGCGAAGGACCTGAGCAGAGCAAAGACATTGTGCTTGAACAGGCCAGTGTGTGATGCCGTGGCTTACTTCAGGGGCAGAGCACACATGCCCTTCCATCACCAGCCTCTCCTGGTAAAAGGATCAGATAGACTTCTCCTTGCAGGGGAGGAGCAACTTCTGGGTAGGGATTCTGTCAGGCTCTAGAGCAGTGTTTCTCAACCTTGGCTGCTTCCAGATGTGTGGATTCCAACTCCCAGAATTCCCCAGCCAGCATTCTGTCAGGCTCTAGAGCAGTGTTTCTCAACCTTGGCTGCTTCCAGATGTGTGGACTCTAACTCCCAGAATTCCCCAGCCAGCATTCTGTCAGGCTCTAGAGCAGTGTTTCTCAACCTTGGCTGCTTCCAGATGTGTGGATTCCAACTCCCAGAATTCCCCAGCCAGCATTCTGTCAGGCTCTAGAGCAGTGTTTCTCAACCTTGGCTGCTTCCAGATGTGTGGACTCTAACTCCCAGAATTCCCCAGCCAGCATTCTGTCAGGCTCTAGAGCAGTGTTTCTCAACCTTGGCTGCTTCCAGATGTGTGGACTCTAACTCCCAGAATTCCCC